ATCTTCTGGTAGAGGTCCTGCAGCGCCTGGCGGGACGTCCACACCTCTGCTGCCCCCAGCTTGGAGTCTGGAACCCGGAGAGGAAGAGGAGGGAACTGAGCTCCAATCGGACCAGAACCGTTTCTGCTGACGTTCTGATCAGTTGGTGATGAAGATCGACTCCAGCCTGTCAGGTTTTTGGCTCCCTTTGAACTTTTCCTCCAATTCACTTAAATCAACATTCAACGTTGAGTTTCTGCACATTTATAAACAACTTACATTTTTATTAGCACCTAAATTATTTTTAGTAATATAAGAAATATTAAAAGTTGAAATTGATCAAAATAAAAAATATTTTCCTTTGAAGCTTCAAAACTGAAACAAGCCGTTTCATTGGCTGTCAGACATCATGTGACTGTGACGTAAACAGGAAGTCCATCAGCTTTTCATGGACATCAGTTCAATGAAACTGGGTTTGATAGAACCCATCCGGACCTAAAAGTCCAGTAAAGTCTGCACAGCTTCAGTCACAAAAATCTGAATAATCTGTAATAAACCTGAGATTTGGCAGAAAAATGTCCACCAAGATGTTGAGCTTACAGCAGATTACTGAGTCATAATCCAGCAACAAACTCAAAGTCCATCAAATGAACCAATCAGAACCTGATCCAACTGGACTGAAGGGTTCTGGGGAGCCAAACTAAAACTGAACTGGTCAGGTCAAAGGTCATCAGAGGAAATGCAGGTCGTCTGTCTGCAGAACTTTAACTTCAGGAATCTTCAGATAAGTGAATAAAGAAGATAAATGTCTCTACAAACATGTAATAAACATGTTTATTACGTGTTATAACATGCCTCCGAACAGGTCAGACCGGACACACCTGCACCTGTAACACGTGGCTCACCTGAGGACCAAGTCTTTATTCTGGGTGAAATCAAATTAACCAATCAGAGACCAGAACCAGATAAAAAATGGAGAAACTGGATTATGCTGGTCAATCGATGAATAAAAACCAACTGAACAGAATAATTGAATTAAAATGTTTCTCAGTGAAAAGCAGATAAATGGATCAAAGAGCATTGATTCCTCTTTTTAATCACTTTTATTCTGTATAAAGTCTAAAACATCAGAGTCAGTCCCAGGAGCCAACATGTTGAACCACTACCAGCAAGTCAGAGGTCAAAGGTCAGAAAGCTGGGTAGAGGTCAGTAAGCCTGATGGTTCAGCTGATCGTGTTTGTTTTGGTTATGAAATGATTTGCTCAGGTTTTCACTGCTCCTGTTGATCAGTGCAGGAATGAAACGTTTCACTGCATTCAGGCTTCTGATGGGTCCAAAACTAACTAACTGATCAATTCTCAATAATTAATTAAGCCCGTCTGATGGTCGCTATGGTAATGCTCCATGAAGCCGTTTTAACCTGCTGGACGCCCAGCAGGAAGTAGACGGAGCCCGGACAGGTGTGAGTGTGACGGAGCAGACCTACCTGTCATGTCAGCCTTCAGGGCCTCCGCCTGGCTGCTCGGATGTAAACAGAGAGGAGAAGGAGGTTAGAGACACACAGCAGGACCCGGGATTCACCTCTTCATCGCACCTGCTCCTCTTCCTCCTCACTAAAACATTTAACAGCTCAGATCGCATGTCAACATGAAGCCAATGGGCTCCGGCTACTTTTGGGTCCAAACCATAACCAACCGCACTGTGAGGCTTCCTAAAGATGAAACTCTTCCTCTCCGTTGTTATTAACTCTGACTGTGAGCAGACAGAAAGTCTGACACGACGGTTTCCAGCTGGAGGAAGTTCCAGTCCAGTAATTACCCCATAAATGTAGCAGTATCGATGCTAACCTGACAGCCGCAGAGAAGCTAACAGGCTAACAACAAACAAAACCGTGGATAAAAACTATTAAACACAAGTTAATAGCTTGTCTGCCTCTAACCACAGATTAACTCAATATCCAACATTAGTGGCTGAGAATGAAAGCTGCTGCTGCCTCTCATCACAAATATATGAAGCTAACGCCTCATGATGCTAGCTAAGCTAGCTCCAGGCTAACAGCCGAGCAAAACAATCCAGCAGCGGGGAGAAACCTGCTCCTTCCCGGGCCTCCAGAACCTCCAGAACCACCGGAACCACCGGGGCGGGACTCGGAGCCCAACTCACCGCAGGTACTGGGCGCAGACGTTCATTCTCCCGGGTCCAAACCGGTCCTTTAAACTACGACTGGTCCCGAAGCTAACTCTCCTCCAGGCGCCATCATGTTCCTGTGTGACCTGCAGAGGGCCCGCGGTGCGGGGGCGGAGCAGGGGCGGAGAGCCGGGGGGCCGCGGGGGCCCGAGTATCAGGTAGCGTTTATTATTTAGTGAAACACACACACACACACACACACGCACACACACACACACACACACACACACACACACACACACACACACACACACACACACACACACACAGGTGCTTTGTGGTTTTGTGCTGTTTTGTATAATTATCATTTACTTAAATATCATATCAGTCAAAATGAACAATACTAATACATATTGAACTCTCATTCTCTCTAAAACCAGTGGTCCGCCATTCACTGCTTGAGTCACTATAGACATATGGACTGAACTTATATAGCACTTTTCCAATCATTTTGACCACTCAAGTCACATTCACCCATTCGCTCACACAATGAATATGCAGACCGGTAGGCAATTTGGGGTTAAGTGCCTTGCCCAGTGGCACATCGACATAAGGTAGCAGGAAGCTGGAATCAAACCTACAACCTTCTGATTGCAAGACGACAACTCTGCCACACAGCCACTTTGAAAACATACGTGTAACTAGTTGTCAATGTCCATAAATTTTATACTTTTCTTTGTGATTCTTAGCAGAAAATATCCTGGATTGAACAGTTTCTTTCAGGTGAATCTCAGTTTCCACTGCTGCTGTGGACATAGACTTAGTATCAGGACGTTTCATCTTGTGATGTTAGAGATGCTCTGAACTCCCTGAAAAATATGTAAACCAAAAATCCCCAGTCTGCAGAACCATCTCATATTAAGCTGTTCAAATATAATTTTACATTAAGAGATCATAGCATTGTTCAGAGTGACAATGCTACGATCAGGACAAACATACAAGGCTGAACGCGTGGAGACAAACGAACAGCAGTTTGAGGCTTTAAATGTTCACTCAGCATGTCTGGAGCAAGTCTCCTGTCAGACTTAAACATAGAAGTGGTTCGGTTTCTGTCCAGCAGGGGGCAGCAGAGGAGCAGCGCTGCTGAATCACTTCCTGTTTCAGTGAAACTGGAGCTGATGGGAGGAGCAGAGTCTGACTGGACAGTGGAGATGTTCCTGCTTTTGCACTGAACTCTCAGGATGAAAATAAAATAAAATGAGGATAAAATCAATGAGAAACTCTTCATGACAACATGTTTTATTCCATTTATTTCAGTCTGATTCTGTGTTTTAAAGGTAAAGGGAGGAGCAACACCGAGCCAACAGATGAAACATCATTTTTACAGAAATGAAAGTGAAAGTTTGTCAAAGTGATTCCTGAGTTGCTGTGGAT